CCCAATAAAAATCGGAGTTCGCGAATAAAAAAAATCCGTCAGACTCTCCAGAAGCCCAGGGGATTCAGATTACGTTAGGAACCGACTGTGGCAAAAAAATGTGTACGTTGCAAACACACGTAAATGTACCTGTGTATTATTAGCATCGTTTACCACAACTTGAACACGACCCATAGAAACGGAATTCATCAAGTAAGAAAAAAAAAAAATTAAATACCGGATTTGATGTAAATCCGATCGGGGGGTTCTTCCAAAGGAACATTTTTTTTTAAATCGGAGGGTTCCCAATTTTATTGTAGAACTTGGCAGGTCTTCAGTACGACAAGTACAAACAGGTTTGTGTGAGGGCGTATGTGAGGGGCGCGGAGTGTGTGTGGGGGGGAGGGGGGCTTGTGTAGGCGAATGGGGAGGGTGTGTGGCGGGGGCGAAGGGGTGGAGGAGGGCGTTGGGGGAGCCCACAATGAGGATTGGGCGTGAGGTGGGGGCCTATGCGAGGCGGGGGGACAGGGGGAGGGGCGGGGGAGAACCCCAGGCTATGAGGACCGGGCCAGGGAGGGGAGCTTGATAAACAGGAACTGCACCCAGCCCAGCAGGAGGTTCCAGAGGGAGTGGAAGACGGGCACGCGCTTGACCAGCAGACGCCACACGATGACCCCGCCGATCACCTTGAGCAGGGTCTGGATGCGCTGAAGTCTGCGGGGAGAGAGAAATAAAGTCGCGTTATTTTTTTTGTTTTTGGTTGTTTTTGTTTTTCTAAGTAAAGAGAAACACATCAACACATCAACGGTCGGTCGTTTAGTTTAGTTAGAGAGATGAGGGCCACAGATGTTTGATAAAAGGAAAGAAGGCTGAAGTCTGCGGGGAGAGAGAAATAAAGTCGCGGTTTATTTTTTTTTAGTTTAGTTTAGTTTTAGTAGAGAGGTTTTACGGCGCTCGCAACTGCATAAGGTCATATGAGCGCCAGAAGATTAGAGGAATTACAAGAGGGTAACAAACATAAAAAAAGAAGGAGGGGAGAAAAGGACGATAGATGTTTGATAGGAAAGAGAAACACATCAACCCATCAACCGTCGGTCGTTCAGTTTAATAAGAGAGATAAGGACGATAGATGGGTTTTTTAAAAAGTTTCAGTAGAGATTTTACGGCGCTCACAACAGCATAAGGTCATATGAGCGCCAGAAGATTAAAAGTGTTACAAGAGAGTAACAAACATTTTTTTAAAAAGGGGGGAAAAAGACAACAGATGTCTGATAGGAAAGAAGAAGCAAGTGATGTTTGATAAAAGGAAAGAAGGTTGAAGTCTGCAGAGAGAAAAAAAGTCTGGTTGTTTTTTTTTTAAAGGAAAGAAAAGCAAATCAACACAACAACGGCCATTTAGTTTAGTTAGAGAGATAAAGACGATAAATGTTTCAGAAAAGGAAAGAAGGAGGAGAGAAAAGGACAATAGGTGAATTTTGTTTCAGTAAAGTTTTACTGCACTCGCAAGTGCATAAGGTCATATGAGCGCCAAGGGGTGGATGTCAACAGAGAAGTCCAAACGGAGAATCAGGCTTTCTCTGCTCACCTCTCTAGCCTCAACAACAGCACAAAGTCTGCTTTGACTATCAAGGCACCCCGAAAATAACAGTTCACAAGAGACTGGCAAAGATGCAAAAGAAGTAGAGAAAAATGACAATAGTACGGATGACGAAAGAAAAAGCAGCAGTTCCCCCTATGTTGTTCCGGCATAGTATGAGCATGGCACTGATAAATCAGCCCATTTACAATTCTACTGTGCATAAGAACAAATTAATTTTTATATCACCTCTTTAGGAATGGCCTAAAGACAATTTCAGTTAGTAGCACTGCCTTGGGGGGGGG